TTAGATTTCGGTAAAATCTTTTTGGCAAGCATCCTATACAGGTGATGTCGTGTTCGCCTTTTGCATCCTGTTAGGAAGCACAAAATGTCGGGCTGGCCCATTATTTGTGATGCTGAGACATTTGGTTAAGGTGGTATCTTCATCTCCTTGTAATTAAGAAATATTCCCCAAAGGTAAGTCTTTATTTAGCTCTGTGTAAAATCTTGCCATCCAAAAACCTTTCACTTAGTGTTTTTAGTTCCCACTGATTTATCTCTGCCTGAATCAGTGACTACTTTGGAGGTTTCACAGTGGCAATTTTCTAACTCTGTGATTCATTCTGTACTCATTAGCTGGCATTCCTCTATAGAAAAAGCTGTGACCTTTTTGACCCCCCTTCCTCTGTTATTACGAAAAGAATTTTGCATTTGATGTGTTACAATCCACTGCCTTCCTTATTCTTTATGCCTTCACCCGCGCTTCTACGTTCTGTTCACAAGTCTGCAGTTATCTCTGAGTGCTTTTGTGCCTGCTGGTGCGATGAAATGTTTCAGGCACATCTTATGAAGATTCCTTGGCCCTGACCTCTTACTTGACATTTCTCTCAGGAGCCTTGCTCCTGCTAATGAAAAACAGTTTTTTAGAAACAGACCTGGAAGCTGGATGTGCTCACTGTTTTTAGGCTTTCGCAGTGGAAAGAGCTAGGAAATTTATTTAAAACAAAACCATTACTCGTACCCACTTCTGAAAGCAAACTGACCTTTGAGGCATTACTTAAAAATATTTGACACTCACATTTTTTATCAGTTCAACTCAATTTATGGCATTAATTCATTGTCAGAGCAACATCCAACAGGATGATGACAAGAGCTCAGCCTACAAGTTGCAGAAGTGAGTCTTCACCAGCACAGAGTGTAGAAGGGCTGCTGAGAACCAGGGACCAGAAGCCCGTCTAAAAGAGGCCACTGCACTGAGCTCAGCCAATTGCTGGAGCTGCACAGGAATTCAGGGCTGGCTTCGTCAGACTGAGTTTTTAAGATATGGTAACTATGGACTTTGGTATAAAATTTCCTGGTTTTTAAAAATACCAAATGCTCCAAACAAAACACTCTGTGGGTTGAATACTGCCTGTAAGTGTTGACCTACTGCATGAAGTCAATTCGTTGTAAACCATGGAGCCCAGTTCACTATAAGGGACGCCTGAACATTCAAGACAAACCATAGAATCATATTAAATCCATGAATTCACTCCTTTCAGGAGACTGAATGTCTACTACATACAATTTCTGTTATGCATAAAGAGCATACCTTATTTACATCCTAGGATTTGATGGCCTAGAACATTCTTTTCTTAACTGTATTTTTAAATTTTTATTTTATTTATTTTTGTTTGTTTTTGGGGGGGGGAATAATTAGGTATTTATTTATTTAATGGAGGTTTCTGGCAATTGAACCCAGGACCTCGTGCATGTTAGACAGGCACTGTACCACTGAGCTATATCCTCCTCAATCCCACCCCTCCTTACAACATTCCTAAACTAGGTATTTGCGAGGCACATCCTGTCACATCCCTCAGGGCATCTCCAACAATCCCCCACCCCATCTTGTTTTTTCCCCACAGCACTTAACACCATTCTTTGAATGAAAGGGTGGACAGAGTCCTTGTAACTACTACTATGAGAGCCTGTTCACACAATTCATTCCAATGCCCTCAGGAGGTTAAGATAAAGAGGGGAGGAAATACTAGATACCAGCTGACAAACATTATAAAACTCAATCACCCGAGGATAACTGAGCTCGGAAAAGTGTTACATGTGGCCACAGTCACTCCTACTCCTCACACGTTGGATTCTTAATTTGCCTGAGATGCTTTCTAAGGGCCTTTCCAGTATTCATTTGCTTGGACTTTGACCGCTGTTCTCCATTTCTACAATAGCAGAAAGTGAGGAAAGGGTCTTAGAAATTATATGTGAGCTTGGCTTAAACAATTTACTTTTATTTTCACCACCATCGGAATATATTGGACCATGCAAGAAATTTGCGTTGACATTCCTCTTATGGCAATCAACGTTTCTGTTCTTAAAGTGTCAGCAGAGCAAGTATTTTCCAAATTTGTAATTTATCATCTTGTTTACAACATAATAATGTGCAGATTATTCATGATTCTTAAAGACATTGTTTGTACAGCAACACAAATTCTCCAATATTTGGACCAAAGCCTGATGAAGCAAAACCCAAACAATGAAAACCAAACATATACGCAGAAATGAACTAGTTCCACTTCATAGGACCCTTATAGGAACCCAAAACAGAAGATTTTCTCCTCATAATACTTTAGGGAAGAGGAGGTGTACACTGCTGTGTCTCGAATGACAACCAGCAGAGGTGTGGAGCAAAAAAACTCTAGTTTCTTTCCAAGTGGTGTGTCCACGCACGCTGGGCCATCTCTGCAGTTGGGGTAAAGCTTGCCACCTGCAGCTCCGGGGCCGTGGGAGGGACTCTGGGCCCTGGGCTGTACTTCTAGTCACAATGTCTGTAGAACAGAGTAAATAAGCCAAAAAGACCACCTGCCTCCTGGCACTGTATTCCAGTGTCTATTTCCTTCCCTAAGCCCATGGACCAAAGATCACATCACCATGCTGGAGGCAGACAAGCTCGGGGCTCAGAAGTCGGGAGAAGAGAGAGGCTGCAACACATCTTCAGGAAAACAGTCTCACAGGAGGTGCCTCCTTGCATAAGGTGGCAGAACCCTGCCTAGAACAGGGTCACGGCGAGGCAGATGCCATGACTGAGGAGGGATGACGGGAGGCTGGGAGAGTGACACTGTGTGAGCGTAGGCAGAGGTAGAGTGGGACGCACAGGTCTCCCTGAGAGGAGGCGCTGCCACTCAGCCCCAGCCGAGGGGTGCCATGGAAAAACAGAAGCCGCGCTCTGGCAAGGCTTTACTTTTCAAGAGAAGTTGCAACGTCATAATTCTCACATACAGAGTAATTCCACCTGACGAAAACACACACACGTGAGCCTCAAATGACAGACTGAGGAATGCACAAAAGTTCACAGCTGCACTCCAAATGGAAACTAACCCAGCTGAATATATACTTTATGTATAAATGTGTTACGTATATAATATATAATGTCTGGCATATTCATACAACAGAATATCACATAATACAGACCTGACTTGGAGACACTGCAGGTTTGGTTCCAGACCACTGTGATAAAGCAAATATTTCAATAAAGTGAGTTACATTTATTGGTTCCCCAGGGCATACAAAAGTTATGTTTACACTATACTGTAGTCTATTAAGTGTGCAATAACATTATATCTTTAAAAAATGAACGTACCTAAATTAAAAAATACTTTATTGCTAAAAACTGCTAACCATCATCTGAGCCTTCAGCAAGTTGCGGTGATCAAAGACCACTGATCACAGACCACTATAATATAATAACGACGGAAAAGTCTGAAATATTGCAAAAATTACCAAATTGTGACACAGAGATATGAGGTAAGCAAATGCTGTGGAAAAAATGGCACCAATATATTTGCTGGACACAGGGTTGCCACAAACCTTCAATTTGTAAGAAACACAGTATCTGCAAAATGCAATAAAGCAAAGCGCAATGCAATAAGGTATGCTTGCAATGAGAATGAACAAACTACTGCTAACCACAGTGACCTAGATGGAACTCAAAAAACGTAATGTTGAACGAAGAAAGCCAGACTCAAAGGAGAATGCCCTGTACGACCCACTTACGTACAGTTCAGGAAACAAGCTATGGTGTTTGAAGTCAGGCAGCAGCCTCTGAATCAGAGTGATTCTCAGAGGGGTATGGGAGGGCTGGGACTTCTTGGTAAGATCAGTTTATAAAAATTAATTGAACTGTACCATTATGATGTGTTTATTCTTTGTAATATATACTTCAGTTAAAAGTTACAAAACAAAACATTGCAAAGGACAAAGAGAATTTTGCCCAAGAAGCTTCCCATTCATGGTCTCTGCTCGGATGGAATTCAGGTTAATAAAATCCAGCTCAAATCTCTACCATGTCCCAATTTATCAAAGGTAACAGACAAACGTTTGGAATGAAACATAACTGAATTAAGGGCACATGAGAATTTTAGCCAAGCAAGGGGGCCGCCACACCTTGGGTGCTGCACCCAGGGCAGGTCTACAGCTCTCAGGGGCCAGCGTGTGGGACCATCCGATGTGAGGTCCACAGAAGAGTGCTTTATTTAAGTGGGGGCTAGCTGCCCTACCCACTGGTGGCACAGCACTCCTTCTATGGCTCGCTTCACCATGTGCCATTTCTCTGGGAATCGGGAACTAAGGACAGTCAGATTCTTTATGGTGGGAGAGAACAGACCCTGTTAACCCACCGGAAACATGCTTCAAACAGGCTGGCCCCCAAGTCTGCATATGAGGAAGACGCCAGTTTGGCCGTTACCTAGCACTAGTGATCATAGCTGGTATTTGCCTGCAAAAGCAAAGTCCAAGCAGGCGTCACCTGCATCCTGGCATCAATGCCTGTATCACAGCATATCGGCTGGGCCCAGAAGTGTTATACTGGGCTTGGTCTGCGGCAACCCTGACATGCCTACGGCAGGGCTAAAAGCTTTTAAAGAAAATCCTGATAAGTATGCTTGATGTAACAGCTTCAGTCATAAGGGGAAAATTAACAGCATGGCTCCTTTCTTAGGTACCCCTGGAGGTTGGGTTTATACTTCAATAATGTACTCTTTCAGTACTTTGTCCTAAAATGAATAAATATTTTGTTAGTCTATACAGAGTGAGTGGTTTTTAAATCGGTAATTTATAAATAGTCACTCATTTAAGAATTTCACAAAGTAGTTTTTTCAAATCAGGTATTTCTTGAATGACTTTGACTGCACTTTCAATGGCCAGTTGCCATGAATTATTAAACTCTCTTTTTTTTCTTCTTCAGAATCTTCCAGTAGACGTCTAGGGTTTAGCTAGAAGTCTTGGCTATGATACAAACAGTGATGGAAAACACATGAGCAGTAACAAGTTTTAATCTTGCTTCTCAGTACTAACATGGGCTAATCTGTGGAAGCAGCTTACTCCAGTGTCACCCAGGGTGCAGCCACACCAGGCTCTGCAGAAGGGTGTTTTTCTTTTCTGTGTGACACCTTTGTATTTTTTCTTCTTAAATAGTAACTGAAAACATTTACATTATAGATAAGTAGTACATGGTGAAAAATTCTACTTGCAAGAGGACTTACTCTCTTCTTACAAGGTATGTTTTCATGTCTTTTTTTCATGTACTAGTGTACAATTACTCGTCAATACTAAGGGAATATTAATGTTATTAATGTAAATGCTTGAAAATGACATAATAAAGTTTAAATTTTAATGTATAGTTTCTTTAAAATAGCACTTAAATGCATATCCAAAATTACTCTAGCTTTTATGTTCTACATATAATGGATTTACTTTCAGTGTATTTTTTGAATAGCTAAGTGATAACCTGTCATTTTGCTTTATCATAAAAATTAACATGATTGATTTTAAAAAATCATTTAAACAAACATCTTGGGAATATGTTCTTTTAAGAAAATAATATTACCTTAATAATTAATGATAAGAAAGTTTGGGGATATTGCAAATACATTAAATAAAAACAGCAGAAACATTTCGAAGTGTGAAACTATGATATTTCCTAAGATGTTTAAATATATATATGAGTTATTCAAATGTTTTTACTTACACATTTGAATATTCATTTTTCCTTGCTAAATGTCTTCTTTATTCTTTTGTAATGAAATGGCACTGGACAGTTAAAATGGAAATTCATGTAAGTCCAAGAAATAATATTTATCAGCAATAATTTAACTAGCCCTATTTTCAATATGAAAGATTAGAAATGTGTTTCCACAAAATCCATACAGTCAGATTTCCTTTGTCCCCTCCCAAAGTAATTTTTTTATTAAATCTTAGATTTAAAAAAATTAACAATGTATTTGACATTCTAAACCCTAGTAATCCAAACAGAGCACAGCATTCTTTTTTGATTTATTTGGAGGTGTGGCAGCCATAAACAGTGGCCACATGGTATACTCACAAATCTGAGAGGGGTCTAAATCTATAAAAACAAAGAGTTTACTTTTTTAAAGTTGCACCAAGAATCGAGTTGTTTAAAACAACATTTCAAGCCCACACACATGTAAAAGCATCTTGATGTTTTAGTACTTAGCAATATAAGGTAGTGGTGGAAAGAAGGAGGGGTAGTCAGTCTTTTGCTACAACTACTATATTAAAAAAAAGTATTCAGATAGCTGATGTGAGGGCTGAGACAAAATAGATTAATTTTACAAGCACAAGTCTTAAGGAAGCATAGGAAACCTTAGAAAAATGAAGAAGTAGGAGTTTTTTGTTTTTAAAGACAGCAGCTAGCTTGCTAGATGCACTGAAAAACTGATGAAGGACAAAACTGATATAAAAGGAAGGCAGCCAGCAAGTTCTTCAATCAGTTGTATCATACTTTCAAGGTAAAGTTAATTCCTTTAAGGAAAGTATAGTGTTTAAAAATATCAGTTTCTATGACCAAAAGGTATTGTGAGTAAGTTTCCTAATGCATGTTCGAGTATTTACCTCACTTGTTCATTTACAAGGCTGTGCCTTGATCAACCCTGAATTTAGCCTGGATTCCTTCTGTGAATACACAGGGCATGGTATAGCACATTTATCTACTGAGAACTACTGTTGGTACTTGTGAATTGACAGGAGCATTTCGGCCAAGGGGAAAAGTCCCAGGCAGACTTTAAGTATAGGATTTAAAAGCACAGTGACTTATTCTCCTAATAATAGTGTCTGAGAGGAAATACCATTTCACTTAGACAAACTTTCCATTCTAAGTTTGTGGAACATTTAAGTGGAAAATAGGAACTTATGCAAATTCAGAAAGACACTTCTTAGCTACATTTCCAGTCCTGAGAATTTGGCCAAACCTCTCGCCCTGTCCTCCCCAAGGAGAGTCTGGTTAGCGTCTGGAAGTCACCGTGAGAATCAGACCCATTTAGAGGAGGTTAAGCGGAAGGGTGGACGGCACAGGAGTCAGGAGGCCAGCCTCGGCCCCTTCCGCCGTACCAGAGGGCCTGGTAGCAACATCTCAAAGGCCTCTCCTCCGGGCTCTAACGTGCCATGGTTTATTAATAACAGTAGTAGCGCTGAAATAATATTTCAAATATTCTTCTAATTAAGAGAAACTTGAAACCAAAATTCAAAGCTTTCCATGAGAAAGATACCCTGGCAAAACTGGCCTAAATTAGGGAAACACTGAGCTTTCCTGAGAACCAGACATCAACATTTTTAAAGGTTTTAAAAATAACACAACCTAAATACTGCCAGAACTAATCAAATAACAGCTTCAGCCGTATTAATAAACCCAAAATTTTAAAGTTAGAGATTCCTCCAAAACCAAAAGCCACATGACTTAAATGAGAAACAATATTCTCTGCACTCTTTCTGAATAATAGGGAAAAAAACATGGCTATATAGTGTTCCCTCCTGGACATTCCAATCTTCTTTACTGATAGAAATCTGATTAACTGGAATAGGGTGAGGTTTAGGGTCTATAATGACTTGTATTTTATCAAGGTTTTGTCGTCTCAAATGAGAGGACTAAATGGTAAATTCCTCATGGAATCAAAGTTCGCCCAAGTTCTCTTTTCAAGTAACCAAGGGAAGAGAATGTAAAAAGATCAGAAATCCACATGGCTAACATAAGACAGAAGCAGCACGGAGAGAAGAAGGTGCCAGGAGGCATTTTTGGTCCCAGGGTAAAGAATTTCCTATCAACCACAGATGGACAGCAGTGGAGCTGGATGCCCCTGGAGGAGGTGTGTTCCCTGAGACCTCTCACTGGCCCACGGACACGCCACCTGGTTCACAATGTTCTGGAGGGAACTCCAACACTGGAAGGGAGTTGAAACTCCATGACATTAACCACTTCCACTTATCTCCTCTCTCACTTGCCAGGGAAGGGCCCCGGAAGGCCTGACGGGTGGCCACCCCCACCAGCCTTCAACCGGAAAGCTTCCCAGCCACCAGTGCCTGATCTAGCAGGCCAGGGTCTCCATCCTACTTGAGGCAGGGAGAATCTCTTGTAGGTTATCAGTGTAAGGGAGAAGAGAGAAGGAGTGAGGGACACTGGCTGACACTCCTCCTGACCCCACGGGTCGGCTGATCAGCAGCCCTTGGGAAGAGACAAGAAAGAGACACAAGACCCCAGACGCCTGGCCTTCCCCCTCCCCCGTGCACCGGCCCTCTCTGTGTCCTCCCAGCTCCCAGCGTACACTGGCATCACACCAGTGTCCCTCTAAGGCTGTCACAGCTGCTCTGCTCCTCCTCATCCTGGTCTGCACTCCGCTCCAGGGCTCTCCTAGGTCACAGGGCAATGTGACTGCAGCAGGAAATGCCAGGAACCTGGGGTCTGCAGAAGGAGGGAAGCCAAGTCCTTGGCCCTGTTGCCAGGCCATGCCAAGACGTCGTGTTCCTGGCTTCCACTTTGTATCTCTATCATTTTTCTCTCGCTAAATGTATTTATTTTTAAGTTCTAAGGTTTCCTTAGGTCTGTATTTCTGGTGTAGTATGTGTTATATAGATTTTTCCGGTCTAGACTAAGAACCTACAGCTCATTCATCTCTTAAGTTTCTACGCAAAAATACTGAAACTCAACAAACCAACCAACTCAAAAATAACTTTTTATGAAACTCTTTCCGTCCTGTGGACCACAGTAAATGGTGGTAGGCCTCAAGAAATCGTGGTGCCAAATTATTTCAAAGGTAGCCACTGTCAGTTGACTTCTAAGCGCACAGTGTATGGGGAAATTTTAATTGTACTACCCGAAGCTATGGAAATGGTAAGAAAAGGCAATAGTATATGGAAGACCAGAAGAAAGACAATTTTCTTGCAGGTTGTTATTTAAAATATTTTAAAAGCAACATAATAATTTTAAAAATATGTACCACAGACAAGAAAATAATCCTTCCCTCGTAATGCCACTATCCCCCTTTATTAGGTCTGAGTATTCCTCCTTCAATCTTTTTTTGTGTACGTGTATTTTATAGATGTCTTTATTTCTGTTGGTCTCAAACAGTAAACTGAGGGTTATGAGGAGTAGACAGACTTATGGTGGAGAATTCTACTTTCAGAGTCTGGAGACCACACACCTGGAGATTCCTCCAGAACATTAGAGCTGCAGTGTGCATAGTCAGCAATGGCTGCATACAATTTGGACCCATTTACTAACTCAAGCATTTATTTTTTGTTTTCTTATTGACACACCTGACACTCAAGTATTAACTTTTACAACAATCCCATGCTTCCCTGAGAGTAGGGGGTTAGGAGCTGTGGTTTTGTTTTTTGACCAGGGAAGTGTGGGAGAAGTGGACAGAGATGGGGGGGCATCTCCACTGAAAGCACCCAGATACGTGCTACTTCACGGATTCTCCATCCTAACACCATGCCTGGCACACAGTGGGTACCTAATAAATGCCCAATGGAAAAACTCTAGCCACCTCAAAGAAAGTCAGAGACAGGACCTCAAATGACAGTGCACTCAATAACTTCTCTGCCGAGGTCACACAAGGTCAGGGGCAGCTATGGACCTAGAAGACAGAGCAGCAATGCAGAACAATGTAAAGAATAAACTGGTACGAGGGACAAGATTTACCGAAGGATCAAGAGCTAAATCAGCTCGGGAAAGAGAGTTCTGGAACTCAAGACAAGGCAGGGCACCAAGCATTAAAGAGCCATGCACCACACAGAAGCCCAAGGTCAAGAAACACAATGGAGCGAAGGCAGGCAGGCAGCCAAGGAGCAGAAATGATGTGCCAGAGTGATGTTCGAAATGAAGCCCAGTTGACTGTAACCAGGTCCCTGTGCCAGGATCCCAGGGTGACGGGATCAGCAACCTGCCTGTCCCCAGGGCTGGCTGACAGAAGCTGCTGGCACAGTGTCTTTCTGCACCTTACAAATCTGACCATGCAACCACTCCCATTCCGACCTTCCAAAAGCTGTGAGTGCACCCCTTTATGTATAAGATGTATACCAGACGGCAGCGTGTGGAATGGCTGGAAAGGAAGAGATGTCAAAGGCCACCAGATAGAAGAAGATAAAAGAAGAGAGTGCCCCTACGTGGGCTGCAGCAGAAGATGCAAAGAATGGGTTGGGACACACGAGCTCTAATTCAAGTTATAGTTCTGTTTGGTCACGTGGCCTTGGTAAAGCCACGGAAGTTCTTGCATCTCCCATCCCTCCTGGTCAATGTGAGGGACGTGTGTAGAATAAACTCTGAATTGACAATTCCACAAGGTAGTGTAGAGATGGCAGGCAAGAACCAGTCCTGAAGTGGGACTCTGAATAAGATTATAAAAACAGAAAGCCTTTTCTGTTCTACGTCCTACAGTGCCCCCTTTCCTAGCACAGAACTGAGTGTGAGTTATCACAAGCAAACCTGTGCAAATATCATGGCTGGTGACGTCCAGCCACCCAGGGGGCAACACGTGCATGTTACCGTATAGACTTCCAAGGGGTAAATAATGTTAATTATCAGGTTAATCACTGATGACAGCAGGGTTTTTTTTAAAAAACTTTTCTCTGAAGATGAAAAGATATAAACACATAAATGAATTTTTAATTAAGTTAATTAATTCATTTCTGATTCTTATGGCCAGAAAAACCAAGGCTATGGAGAGGTATTAAAGCTGATTTCTGGATTCTAGGAAATCGTAAGAAGCTGGTATAATTCTAAGATTTGGGGGGCCAGGTCTTCTTGAGGCTAGACCAACTCTGACTGACTCTGGAAGCCCTTTGTGGCTGAGGTGCTGTCTAGCGCTCAGGCACAGCAGGCCAGCAACACTGCTGGGTGACCTGGCTGGGTGTGGACTCTCCTGCCAGGACGCGGCCTCACCAATGGGCATTATGTGCAGCCACCTGCGTGCACCAAAGAGAAGACAGGCATACATCTGTCTTAGATGGTATCATAATGCTTTTCAGTTTTGAAAAATTACAAAGAATGTGTGTTTCACAGGTGACGGTTAAGAAACCATGAAATGTTAAATATACTTGTGGGACTGTCCACCATTAAATGACAGCAAATCCACTCATGTTTTTCACTTGTACATTACAGTTCTGTGTGGGCTTTAAAAAAGCACAACTGAAAGCAAATCCTCCCTATTCCCCACCTGCCCCTTAAAATCTAAACAGAAAGGACTCATCAGGAAGACGAGTAAGACAGAACAGTCCGGGCCTCAGATGCTTTGTATCAGATATTAGACGACAGAACAGACTGGAAGGAAAATCCAGTAACGCTGTGGAGAAAGTAAGCAACTCTGAGAGTGAGGCTGGGGAGGACGGCGTGAGGGAAGTTAAAGAAAATTTCCAGGTGTTGTACTAAGGGGACATGAAGGATTTTACTTTAAAAGTGATATAGATATTAAGGCAATGGAAGGATTCCAGGAATAGGGTGTCAGGTATGATAATCTGTTTTTGTTTTTAAAAAACATTTATTAGTTTCCTAACTATAAACATAGTACTTATTGCTCAGTATGAAAATTAAAAAAAAAAACAGACAAGTAATTCATGAGTCTTCTACCTAGATATTATCCTCAATTAGGTATATTTGTGCCAGGTTTTTTGCATGTTTGCCTGTAAGTACACCATATATAGACTTTAAAATATTTTCTTTTATTTCAAAAAAATAGTATTTCATATTTCTAAATATCTTTGCAAAAACTTTGTGGGTTTCAAAGTACTTCCTGAAATAAACAGATCCTATTTTATTATTTCCCTTTAATCATTAATATTACCTTTAATTTTTTTGCTATTATATATATAATTCTGTGATGAACATCTTTATGTACATTAGAACTGTTTCCTGGGACTAGATGCCAAAAAGTAGAATTACTAGATGAAAAACAAAGATATTTTTAACACTTCCATTGCACATTGCTGAACTGCTTTCCAAAAATTTTTAATAAACTTATTCTCACACTAGTAATGAATAAGAATGCCATTTCATTTTACTCTCGTCAGCTCTGAGTTATGCACGAACGCAGGAATTGTACCTATTTAAACTTTAACTTAATCCTCAATGTCTACTTAGTTCTAGAGTGGTCCCCCTACACAGGCCGACATGAAGGAGTATGTGCTCCTAGTGTTCTTGACTTTGTGCTCTGCCAAACCCTCATTTCATCCTTCGTACGTGACACTGAAGAATATGATGCTAAAGGACATGGAAGACGAAGGTGATACTGACGCGGACAACTCTCTTTTTCCAACAAGAGAGCCAATCAACCCCTTCTTCCCATTCGATCTGTTTCCAACGTGTCCGTTTGGATGTCAGTGCTACTCAAGAGTTGTGCACTGTTCTGATCTAGGTAAGAATACACGTCAACTTGTTTTAAAGAATAATGTCATTCTGACAAAATTAAAAGGATAGGGAAAGATCTCACTGAAATTTCCAAAATCAGCTGATTGTAAAGGAATTTTTCATTTAAGTTAGTTTTTCATTTAACAAACCCCAAGTACATCCAAACTGTTAAAAACCCAGAAAAATCAGAGGAAAACAAGGGGAATTTCATATACAGAACACTTCCTTCTCCTCCCAAATTTTAATCAGAGCTTCATTTTCATTTCCTTCAGAGAGAATGGATGTCACTGGTTTCACCTTAGCATGTCAGCTGGTTAAAACTGTACTTCTCAGCAAAATCCCACAACAACAAAATAAGTTGACTGTCCAGAACAGTCAGTAGCTTATAGTTTGTGAACTCTCTAATCTAGACATTAGAAAGACAATATTCTATTTGTTTTGAGTGACTTGAGTTTAGAATTGTCTAGAAAAGAAGTGGCTGAACTAAATCACTTTCTAAAGTCTCTTAAAAACATGTAATTCTCTGAGTATTTTATTCTTTTAATACTTCTAATGAAGGTGCTCTCAAATAGAAAGGCACACTGGGGGAGAGGTGTAATAGGACGGCACATTAAGAACTGCTGTGCTCAGCTATTTCCAAAACAGGCTCAGGCTTGAGTCACTGTGGGAAGCCAAAAGCATGGCACACACCTCCTGTTCTGGGGCTGGAGGCCCAACAGGGCCATTTCCAGGGGACAGATGAGTAGTGTCTCCGAAAGCTTTAGATTCATTTCCTACTGCCACAGCATTTGTGGCAAGTCAAAGCTTATCACAGTGAACTCTAGAGACTTTCAAAAAGTGTGTTGTTATGGGACATAAAGGTGAACAGAAAAGCATCCAGAAAAAGAGGGTGTTATCATGAGCTAGAATCACTGAGAAAGTCTTAATGGAATATACGGACTAGGGGAAATGGGCTTTAAGCTTTACCTTTGGCATTCTCGTAAGAAGGAGATGACAGGATGCAAACCATGTCTGAGAAAAGCTGGTTGGGAAGCACACAAGAATGACTGTGGGAAGAGCCGCAGGAAGGAGAAGTGTAGAAGCTGAGACAAAAGCTCTATTAGGGAATATCAGAAGGTGGTGTCGTTTTTAAGTGCATCCCAGGCAGGAAAAAACTCCGCTATCAATTGTAGAGCAGAAGCATTCGAAAGCACTTTGTAAAACCAAAATCAGGATAAAAGTATCTGTGTCTACTTTGATGGTGCTGAATGTAAACTGGGTTGGTTCTGGGTAAGACTGTGACTAAGATGTTCATCTTTAGCCACACCAGCCTCATGGGGTGGCCTTCGTATGTGCTCCAGCACAAAGTCATCGACTTCAACTTAAAGACCTCAGAGGAAACGCGGCATAGCTCTGCTCCAGTACATGACTGTTGTCAGAGAACCGAGAATAACCAAACTGCGTCATGACACACAGCTGGCTGCAAATTGTGTTTTACTTACACGATCTCCCAAATATTTAGCTTTTAAAAAACCACCTAAACCAAGAATATATGTAATATAGTCTGACACATACCTTTAAAATGACACGTCACTGTTAGCAGTGTACATTTCACCTCCCCCAGGACCACTGCCATGAAAATGACACATTACTCCTCTGTCTCAGGAAATGGAATTCTTTTCAGAGCTCTGATTTTAGCAGGAGTCGGGCAGGGGAAGGCTTGTCAAAGTTTATGTTACGGGGTCCTGTCTGCAGAATCTCTAGCTCCCAACAAGACCTTCCACTTCGTTTCCAGACCAAAACAATCTCCTAACAAAACTGCTGCCACCTTGGTAACCTATCAAGTTCCCCCCTTTCCCCTTTTTCTATCTATGTTAAACTTCTTAAGAGAACTGTCAATTTTAAAGTATAAAGGGGAAAGTACTGAGGGCTGCCAAGTGGGCCACTGATACTCACAATATTTTGATACTGAGTTCTTCAATTTGGGGCTATTAAATATATTAGTACTCTTCAGGAGTAAGGATGGCTCCACCAAAAGTGTAGTAATATCTGAAAACTCACTTTAAAATGGATTTAAAAAAAGATGACTTGATGGGTGGACAGTTAAGTACAGTATAGTGAAAGGTTGATGAGAGAAAGAGCATATGAGTTTTCACTGTAAAGAGTCTTTTAACTTTTCTGTATCTCTGGACATTTCAATAATTAAATGTTGAGGAAAACCAAGAAGGCCCCTGCTCAGCAAGCCTAGCTACCACATGGAATGTCTGGAAGCAATCAGGGGCGAGTATGCTCAGCCCTGTAGGGAAAGAAAGGAGAGTAAGGAAGAAATGTACTGCCTATAGGTCCTGGTAATTTTCTGCCTCTTTAAGAGAGGAAAAACACATGTAAACCTTTAAGTGATTTAATTAACATCTACTGAGTACCTACACAAAAAGGAAGACGCAGCAGCTGAGATGAGTAGACAGAAAAGGAAGCTATTACTGTAGCTGCAGAGAGGAATGGTGACTAACAGGTGGGCCCTGGTAATTTCAAACTAGAGTATGTGGCTGGAAAAGAACTAAGGCTGTGGGTGATAGACTCAGTAACAGTATACCACACACTTAGATGTTAATGATGGATATGGATTGTTAAGGATGAATAAGTCTTTGTAAATCAAATAATATATGACTAATTAGAGGGGCTTATCATTAAAGGAAATGAATGGTAAAGTTCTGGATAGTGTACACGAAAATAACCGAATTTACCTGCTTTCTAAGCACAACCCACAGGCTCCAATTTAGCACGACAACAACCAGAAAATGTGCAAAGAATGTTCATTTCTTTAGCCAAAAGTGCATCCGCAGAGGCTGTGCCCCAGCACATCTCCTTGCAGTCATATTAGCACACCCCAGCTTACCTCCATCTAATATGACCTTGCAGCAGATGAATATTGAGAGCCAGACCCAGTGAGACATCCGGTAAAAATAACTTAAGTGACTTGATAAGGTCTTTAGCCCTTTCCAAGGAACAATGTTTCTGTCATCTGTTACTTAATGGTAAGCATGGACTTCTATCATGTCTGCGATCTTATCTGCAGCGTATAACGTGTATGCAACGTGTTTGTTTATTTCTCAGGTTTGTCCTCTGTCCCAAACAACATTCCATTTGATACTCGAATGGTTGACCTTCAAAACAATAAAATTAAGGAAATCAAAGAAAATGACTTTAAAGGACTCACCTCACTTTATGTAAGAATATATGCTCATATTTTCAAATATTCAAGTGAAAAATCTCTATCATGGCTAAAATGATTACTTGTATTTTGTGTTTGTGTAAATAAGTCTTACTTTCTGTGTGATGAATGACAAAATCCCTGTTATTCAGGAATGTTCTAGTTAGTGAAAAATTATAGATTTAATTCAATTAATAATTTAAGTCAACTGATGTTTACCAAACAAGAGGCAAGTGAAAGGCGATGGGCGAAGAATTCAAGTAAATGGTCCTTAGATGAGCTTATGATCTATTCAGGTTAATCATGGTCACTATACACTAAAACAATGACACTAGAACTCATTGGCATACAGTGTAAGGAAAGTTGTACCCAAACCTGCTAACTTATCTTAGTTCACACACAGCTCTAATAGCACCACACGCAACATATGTAACTGACTGATATCTATCTGTATAGCTTTTTTCCTAGACCGCTAAAGAAGACAAAGAACTTTTCCTTAGGCAGGTAGGGTATAGCTCAGTGGTAGCGTACATGCCTAGCATGCACAAGGTCCTGGGTTCAATACCCAGTATCTCCATTAAAGGATGAATAAATTAAAAACTCTAATTACCTCCTTGCCCCCCCAAAATATAATAAAGAACTTTTCCTTACTGTATTTATCAATATTTTAACTTTCTAAGTTTTACAAGATTCTTATTTCTCTATCTAATATTGTGAACCTCTAGATTTTAGCAGGTAAAATTTCTCATTTTATTTGGAATTGGGTTTGAGGGAGAGCCGGATTCCACACTGTCACATCTTCCACAGTGTCATCTCTTCCCCTCTTGCCACATTCTCATGCTGTGCTGGACAGAAGAAATGTGAGCCTGTCATCTGCGAGGCAGAATTAACACTAGGAGGATGAGGTAGAGGCAGCACGAGTGTAGCAGTCTCTTGCTGCCATCCCTGCAGGCCGGTTCTCTCCTGCATCTGAGCAGCTTGAGGCCACCCTGCCCGCCTGAACTCTGCTGATCCATCCCAGCAGGGAGGGAAAGGGGACTCCCGAGCCCCATTACGAAATCTGTGCCTGTCAGCTGCATGATCATGTTCTAGGCACCATGGGGGTGCTTTTTACTTACCCTCTCTTGCTCAACCCTCATGCCAAGGCTGCCTGGCAAGGAGTGCCGCCCAGAGGGAGCCCAGGCCACCCTCCCTGCGAAGCCACACTCTTGCCTGCACTGCCAGGTGGTTGGGCTCGTGGGGCCTTGACTGCTACTGTCCCTTGCAAGTGTACCATGCAGACCGGCTAAGGCTCCAGACATAATAAAGTTTCCATGTTAAAAAACAAACACAAGAACAGAGCAAAGGGAAGAGCATATATTTATCTTATAATAGGCCTCACTAATGCTACGGCAATCAGAAATAGCACAATGGGTTCCACACCAAGGGCCCACCCAGTCCACCCCACTGCCTTCAGACCAGAGAAACTTTTAGAGAATAGCAAGGCCATTATCCTCCCTCGGAAGCTGGAAATAAAACCTATGAATGCTTCTACCACTCCTTTAGCCTAAATTTATCGACACAACCACAAGAACAATTAATGTCATATTTAATACTGAAATCATAAAACTTTTAAAATTTGTCATATCATTATTTTATTGCACTTCTGGAGTATTCCAGGGACTTAGTCCACATGTGCTTCTGCTATTCATTGAGAAATGAGAATCGAAAAGGTGTCAGGAGCCGTCTTGGGCCTCCCTGATTTTCTTTAAGTCAATTTTCATACGGCATTGTGTTGGAGGTGGGTGTTCTGGAATTAGGCAGTCCTGGGCTGAAAATCTTGGCTCTACCAGAAATGTGTATCAGGAAAGTGGCTTACTTCTCTAAGCCTGACCTTCCTCGGCCGCAAAAGAGGCGTAACAACAGTATGGAGTTCAGAATGGTTATTTAGATGAGTGAATGCAGGTAAGGTGCTCAGAGTCCAACTGCTAAGTACTATCTCCACCAGTCCAGTGTTTCCAGACTGGCCAATGTACTCATGTAAGGCACCTTTTAAAGCACACACTTTCTACTTGGATTGTGGGCATGTATATCTCAAAATATTTACTTAATTATAATATCATCTTATATGGTGCTTGGCTTTACAGAGACTCATAACTTTTTCCTTTCAGATCTTCTATAAATTCTCTAGATTATGTCTGGCATTCTGGTTCTTACACAAAGGACAGTTCAGCATTAGACAATGAGTGAGATCTTCTTCACACACACACACACTCCCCCAGTTCCCTTCCAGCCCGTTATTATAGCCACACTCATCATGAAGACTTACTGTCCTACGTCTGAAAGCCTGTACTTTTCTCATCCTCTGTCCTTACATGTAACCACATTGTCTGCGGCTCTGTGACTGCCACTTTTGGAATTTTCATGTGAAAGCCAACGCTGAAAGTACAACTTAACTGGAGACACTCTGCTAACCCAATCTGCTGGGGCAGCATTTTGATGGCGCTATGTAAAAATTCTTATCCCATTTTGGATCAGTTAGCCTTCGATTTATGCAGCTCTGATAACTGCAAGTCTTAGCCAGAGGAAAAAAACAAACAAAACCCCACGCATGGTTGCTGGATCCAACTGAGGCACACACTCCCTTTGGAACTCCAGACAGGGGCAGCCCACATGAAGTGTATACAAGAGCAAAGTGTGCAGGGCAGAGGGGCAGGGCCAGGCAGGGGGCAAGTTACTCTTCTTCACTGTTCCCATTTTTTCATCACTAAGAGGAGAGAGAATTTCTGTTAAATTTAGCTCATGGGGTTGAGTGAGAGTTTGCCAAGGCGTTAAATGCCTCCGTCCCCTCATTTTTTCAGTACAGCCAAAGGAAAAGAAAACAAATTCTAAATTGGCAGCACACAGAAAGGAGTATATTTTAGCAGTTGGTAACAAAATGTAGCATAAATTCTTCTCCTGGGCTTAACCTTTCATAGGTGAAATTGTTAAGAGTAAAGATATGTCTGAAAGGAGGGTAAGAGAAAGGAGGCACAGAGGGCTTACAGTGAAACCAGTAAACGTAATAATAAAGAGGGTTTAACTGTCAAAGTATCTGTGTTTCTTCTGTGAAACAACAACAATGTGAATAACACCCAAAAGACAGATTAGGTCAGTCTGGAAACAACGGGAAGATTGTTGTAGAATGGGGACTGGGGACAAAAGTCTGAAAAGGAAATGAATCCAGAGCTGCTCCCGGAAAGAATGAGAGGACCTGGATTATTAGCAGAGGGGGATAAACAGTCCTAGGAATGCTAAGCCACCTGCCACCACCCTTGGGAACCACTGAAAATTCTTTCTGCAAAATCTGGCTCGTTCTGAAAATAGTTACGAGGGTGATTTGCAAGCCCTGGTTACCAAAGACTTTCCCAGGTCTGCTTCTGAAGTTCCCACATCCTAGCAGACTGAGACGGCTGCAGACGGCACCCTCAGCATGCCACGGAAGGCTTGGCTGTGGAGAATGCAGATTGAGGCTGCTGCAAGCTCTTTCATTCTCTGGGGTTTTGTCTCTCTGAAGGGAGCTGCCATGTTGTACCAAGAAATAGCCACAGAACTGAGAAGGGGTCGAGTCATTTCTCAGAACCTACCACCATCTTCCCAGTGTGTAAACTATGGCAGAATGCTGAGGGCGCTTTGTAAGAGTTTATTCCTACAGGCCTCTTTTCTGGGGAAAATGGTAAACATTAGTAAACAAGACAGAAGTGAGATTTTAAAAGTAGGTAAGAATCATGCAAAAATGTTATTCGGTGTGCACTGAACTTAAATTTTGTAGAGTGAACAGATTTTAAGATATGATAAAGATAAAACCATTCATTACTTCCATGAAGAGAAATGGGAGAAGGGCGCCTTAACCATGTGAACACTCACCTACTCAAGGACAAAACCAAAGGCATGAAACCAGTAGTTAAACCTTTGCACTGTTTCAACTCAATAGTAAATATATCTTTTTTTTAGCTTATACTGGGCTGGAGAATTATTTACATGGCTAACAAAGTCTATGAACGACATGATTTGCACTGATTTCCATGAGTAACTAATCACTGTAGAATACTGGCAAATCAAATCCACTTCGTAATACGGTGTAACTTTTTATGCTTTACCCAGGCTTTGATTCTGAACAACAACAAGCTAACAAAGATTCACCCCAAAGCCTTTCTAACCACAAAAAAGCTGCGAAGGCTGTATCTGTCCCACAATCAACTGAGTGAAATACCGCTTAATCTTCCCAAGTCATTAGCAGAACTCAGAATTCATGACAATAAAGTTAAGAAAATACAAAAGGAGACGTTCAAAGGAATGAATGCTTTACACGTTCTGGGTGAGTTTCTGCAAACAAATGAGACATTCTGCAATTGTAAGCAACATGCAGATGTAGGGGTCTTTATCATCATTAACAACTTTTAAGACTGATGATTTCCAAAATTTATTTTTGAATCCACTAAGCTTTACCTAGATAAGCCATTCATAAACCAATGAAAGTATCAAACAAAAATTTACAGCACTTAAGGAAATACGTCTTTTGTAATAAAAACACATACATACACTCTTAAGAATCCCTTCTGAAACACCTAGTGTGTTTCTGTTTTCTGACTGCACTTTAATTGGTAAAATCAGTTATTCTTATTTAACTTAAAGGTAGCAATTTTAATGTATGGTACAAACTATTCAAATACAATCCACAAAATTAATTCAGATATTATTTGGAATGTACATCTAACTCTCCATGATCTGCTTTAAGATGACTGAGCTAAGGCATTTTATTATTGCATACTTTAATGTCTACAATATTTTACTTTGAACACACATGGTATAACCGTGCCATCTCCCCCTACAGTGTCCATTCAAAATTCTTAACCAATATTTTCATTCATTTATTTACTTATTGAATTCAACCAAGTGCCTTGCACTTACTAAACAGCTTCAGTTTCTGGTATTTCTTCTTCTTCTTTTTTTTTTTTTTATTGAGGTATAATCAGTTTACAGTGTTGTGTCAATTTCTGGTGTACAGCACACTTCTTCAATCATACATGAATATAAATATATTCATTTTTATATTCTTTTCCACCGTAAGCTACAAGATATTGAATATGTTTCCCTGTGCTATACAGTATATCTGGCACTTCTTTAGTTATAGTTCTGTTAATCCAATAATTTCTAATTGACTTATAATTTTAAAAGTTTAGGTGACAAATAAATGAATGTACACTAGAGAAAACAAAGTGAAATATATTGAATTATATGAAAGATGATCTTTTTTTCCTAACATAATATTACTATAACAAAACCTTGATCATGCTCATGGTTGGAAAAGAGTGATAAGCTACTGATGTAATAATTCAAAGTAAAACAGCAGAGCTGTTTTATGTTTCAGCCTACATAATACAAACAGTCTTCCTCTGAGACTAATAGAAAAGAGAGTAGATAGAAACAGATAGTGAGGAAGAGTCTGAATGATAAAGCTCAGAGTTTTCAGAATTTTCTTGGGACCTGCATCTCATATACAACATGTGTGTGCTAAATGATGTAATTCTCCCTCACAGAAATGAGCGCAAACCCTCTTGATAACAATGGGATCGAACCAGGGGCATTTGAAGGGGTGACAGTGTTCCATATCAGAATTGCAGAAGCAAAACTGACCTCAATTCCCAAAGGTTTGTATTTATACAGTATTTTTTAATTGCCATTTTAAAATGACCATTAAGTGTAATGTTGTATACTATACACATTGTCAAAACCGCACTGCAATTATAATCCTTTTTACCGGTATATCTGGTCAGTATAGTATGAAATTTTGTGTTTTCTCGTGTACAAAAAGATCCATACATAGTGCTTTTTATTCTTGATAGTATAAGATCAGAATCCTTTTTTCCCAGTGAGAACAAACATTAAGAAGCAATGAACTTTTCATTTTCTGTCTCTTTCCTAACATTTTTTCATCTAAACTTGTCATTCTGTGAAGTGTCTATCAGGGGTGAGAATTCTGTAGAGAAGAAAGCAGAGGAAGATGCACAGGGTCAGAGACTTGTCTCCCAGCAGAGCAGCGGTGGTGCAGGGTGGGGACCATGAGGCAGGACTGGGGCAGACGCTGGCTCGGTCAGGGATAAGTGTGTACTCTGGGCAAGGTGCTCTATACCTCATTCTTTTGTTCTCAGGGATGCTGTGCAGATTAATAGGCTAATAATATACAGAAAGGTCTGCATACAATGTCAGCCACATGGAAACGCCCCCTCTTGACATAATCAGTACCAGAAAGAGCATCCCACTCTTTATCATATGACCCTGAAGCTGGCACCTCAAAGTAAAATGCCTCTTAAGTTGGCCACTGGACCAGTTTCCTAATGCATTACTTCTGATGACTGACTAGACAGGAGCCATGCTCAAAGTCTCCTTTCTTCATCCCTGACAGGGTCTCTCTTCTACGCTGACTACCTGGATCAGAAATAGCCCCTATGAGTAATAACATATTTTCCTTTCAAACAGCGCTGTCTTTCAGTATTCATAGTAAAAGCAGTGGTAACCTCTTTTCTTCTATTTCACCATAACCCCTTCTCTATTACTCAATGGATCCAGAAGATTAACAAAACAAACAAGCTAATAATTTAAAAGACACAGCAAAGCTGCTATTATTAATCAAGTGGTGATCTTTCATTTGGGAGAAAAATCATCTAAAGCAAAAGTGGAAAGACAATTTTTCTTAATATAGGAAAAATCAGTTTAACTCATAATTACACAATTAAAAACCATTTTAATTTAGTTTTCAAGGAGGTGGCTGTTTTCCTACAAGAAACCTAAAATGTTATATTTACTTTCTCATCTTTAGAACAACAGCAAAAATACATACTCTACCTAACAAATGAAATAAAATCCCCTTCATTTGCTGGAAGCCGGCATAGAGTGAGGAAGAGGGCAGGACAGAGTGGGGACATAGAGGATAAGAGGGTGTACCGGGGCAGGAGAGTAGGGGGCCACCCCAGAGCTGAGGCTCAGAGGTCCCGCAGTTACCATGGCTCTTTATATTTACACTAGCAGCTTTCTTACACACAAAACATCCGGAGACTAATTCTCTCCAAGTTTCAAAATGTAGCTTAAAAATAAAGTTTTAACTCCTCGTAAGTTCTCAAGATTCTTCTGAAGTCTAATAAAGGAACATTTTATGCCTTTAGAAATTTAAACTGGAATCAAATCTTTCAATTTATATAGCTACTCCTTCAAGAGCCCTATGACATTCAAAGGCTAGTTAATTTTTTTTTTGCTTTGATGACTTATTTGCTCAAATGTTAAGGCTGACTGCCAAAATGGCATAATTCAATCACTACCCACTGTGACAGGATGAATTAGGCAGAGGTCCAAAGGGTTCTAACCAGATCTGACAAATAAACATAAAGAGAATGAAAAATGTTTTCCTTCTTATTCATTTGGAAAATCCATTACCAAGAAGACTGTGTGGAAGAGAGGAGGGGCCTATCTGAAGACAGGGCAGGAATAAAAATAGCTGTTGAAAGTATGCTGTATTTGTTGGCAGTCACTGAGTTTCTGCCTAAATCCATACAACAGAACAGTCCCCTAAATTCTACGAACTCTCTTCCAAGAAGTTCCCCTCACTCACCGTGAACCAAGAGTTCTCTCTTCTTTTGACCTGCAACAACGTAATTCTAGAACAGGCTGGTACAATCAATGGTATTTTTCTAGTGATTTTTGTCTGTTTGATAGATTTGCTCAATTAGTATTTAAGATCTTTGAAGCCAGAAACTTTTCTTTTGCATACTGAAGTGAGTACAGTCATTCCATAAATATAATTAAGCTCAACTGCTCAGAATTCATGAAATCAGAACACTCCCAGCTTACAGTTACGTTCCTGCTCTCTAGTTTATTTACTTTTAAAATTCAGAGTACCTTATGGAATCAACATATATTCAGCCATGAAGAGTACTGATATTCATAAGGATGCTTCAATTAATTTCAACAGTCTCTACTACTATTAAAGTAAGGAAATGTTTTATCAAGAGTCGAAAAAAAGAATGCTTTACCTTGCTAACTAACAAGAACCTTTGACTGAAAAATAATAATTTATGTGTAGGATTAATAAAATAAGATCTGACTGAATTTTCTGGTTAGTCTCCTTCATACCAGCTTCATGTCGGAATGGGCTGGGGTCAGAACAGGCAGGTGTGAGAAGAGAAGGTACAATCATAGGGTATCTGCCATGTGCCAGGTGGCACTGCAGATGCTTCTCTCAATTTATGCAGAAACTGCTACTAATTGGAAAGAATAAATATTGCAGTGGATCAAACATATCAAGTAAGGTAAAAATCCATGAGTTCATAATGATATTAAAAAATTCATTGGTTCCCCTCTAGGCATTGCACCAATTAGTTACTTGAAAGAATCAAGCATGCATGCTGCTTTTTCTATAAAAAACTGTATTATAAAGTAACAAAATAATTAATGAAGGAAAATTCTTTAGAGAAGAATCCCACCTAATCAATGCCAAAATCAGAAATGACAAAACCAGAAAATCACCATTTTCTCATTGTTAATGACATAGTAAGTCTAGTTAGCTTTAATCAATGAATGGGTGCTAAGATCATCAGCTGAAAGAGTGACTTACTGAATCTAATCTGGTCTCCGGATCTAACTTTCAGGTCATAAGAAATTAAGGGGGCTAGAGGACCATGATAAACTACATTATGTGGAAGCCATCAGCCCAATTTACAAATGAGTATCTCAGAGAAGTTAATACCTGAAAAAAATCAACAGAAGGAGAAACAGAAGGGAATATGTAATAGAAGAAGAGATTTTAAGAGAGATAAAACCCAAAGATATTTTGTAACTTTTAGATACTGACCTGAACTAATCAACTATAAAACAATATATCTGAGATCATTAGGGAGATGAATATTAGAAGATAGTAAACAATTGTTGCTAATTTTGTTAGATGCGATACTGACATGACGGTTATGTTAAAAAAAAAACAAACAAAAAAGATGACCTTATGGGTTAGAGATGTCTAGTAAACTCTTTACAGGTTGAAATGACATTATGGATGAAATTTGACTTTAAATACTCCAGCAAAAGTAAATAATAAAAACAAATCAATAAATAAGTCAATAGTAAATAACTAATGTGGGGAGATGAAACAAGACTGGAAAAATGGAGATAACTGTTGAAGCTAGGCAATAAATGGTGGTTCTCAATACCAGTTTCTACTTTTGTGTATGCTTGAAATTTTCCATAATAAAAAGTTAAAAAAAAAAACAGATCCCTTAAAAAACTGCCTAAGTCTACAATGTGAAACTTAACAGGTAAATAATCAGTAGGGCTTGGTCTTAACCTGATCTTACATATTTTTTTTCCTATCACTAGGCCTACCTTCAACATTACTGGAGCTACATTTAGATTATAATAAAATTTCAACTGTGGAACTTGAGGATTTTAAACGATACAAAGATCTGCAAAGGTAAACATCCCTTAAATCCTAACTTGGAAGTAGTAGTCAGTATGACGAAGGTATTAATGAAATTTCTTGGAGAATGTGTACAGGGACCGAATCAAGATTAAGGGAAAACTAGAAGGAACTGCTGTCATTCTGTCTCGGTGCCAAGTGGAATGAACAGAAGGACACTTCAAACGTCCCTTTTGTTGAATATAGGTTAGATAAAGAATTTTCCGCCCATGGAGGAGAGGGGCTGTTACAGACTGAACTAGTTTAGTAAAGGAAACCATGAAATACCTTTCTCTGAACATGTAATACAAGTATTTCTAACTCAGTTGTGGTGTTTTCAGCCGACTGTATCTGCTTAAGAGGTGATGCATTTTATTTCATTTTTAGACTGGGTCTAGGAAACAACAGAATCACAGATATCGAAAATGGAAGTCTTGCTAACATACCACGTGTGAGAGAAATACACTTGGAAAACAATAAGCTAAAAAAAATCCCTTCAGGATTACAGGAGTTGAAATACCTCCAGGTAAAACATTCCACTTGTGTTCTGTAAATATTAGTACTTTTATTTCTATAAAACATATTAGTATCTGTAGCAAAGATCAAGCAAGTAGCAAGGGTAATTCACACCTAACGACCCTCCAAGTTGCCCAAAGTGCTTCACACTATAGGAAAGTTAGAAGCCCTGTTTCTATTGAGACGTCAGCTAATCTCACCGAGGCAGAATCTAGAGGTAAGAACAGCCAGAACTGGTATCTTCGCCTTGCCAGCAAAAGGCTCCTTCTGTTTAATATGCCAAAATGCTGTCAGTTAAGCAGATTGTTTTTACTTCCCAGGAATCTCAGTTGCCAAAAGAGATCAAAGAAAGAATGTAAAGAGCTGTTAAGGGAATGTCCTATATTGTCATTCTGTCTGAGTAATAATTTAATAAGACATACACACCACCTATGAAATTATATTTTGTCCATTGGTGCAAATAAAGATTCAACTTGTAGTGCTGTATTACAGATAGGTATTTAAGATGTTGATAGACATATTTTTCTATAAAACTGACAAAAAAGCAGCTCTACATTTCTCTCCTTCGATCAAAAAAGGCTAGCTAACAATTCTTCACATCGCAAGTCTGTTAGAGCATTAAATCCCATTGTTCTGCTCTTTCCTAATACTTTTAAAACACATTATTATAAACATAGCACTGAAGTAATCACACACACACACACCTATATGTGTATTAGGTTGCTATGAGAATTGAATGATAAAAGTATATGTGAAATTGCTTTGTAAACCAACAAGATTCATAAATATATACAGAGAGAGAGGGAGACAGAAAGACAGACAGAGACAGAAACAGAGAGACAGAGACAGAGGAGAGTGGCACGAGCTGACTAGGCAGTGCCCTGGGCTTTGGCCTGAGTCCTATGACACACTTCACACACACAGCACTTTCGTATATAACACAAGTGCCTAAGTCCTGTATTTAGCAGGCATAAATGAGTACATATATTTTAACTGAAATTCAAATCAGTGTAAAATAAAAGAGACAAATCCATGAACAAATGCTGACTGTAAACAGAATATTTTCTTTTTACATTTATTGTGAATTTTACATCCATTCTTTTTCCCTACTACAACAGATAATCTTCCTTCATTCCAATTCAATTACGAAAGTGGGAGTGAATGACTTCTGCCCGACAGTGCCAAAGATGAAGAAGTCTTTGTACAGCGCAATAAGTTTATTCAACAACCCGGTGAAGTACTGGGAAGTACAACCTGCAGCATTTCGTTGTGTTTTGGGCAGGATGAGTGTTCAGCTTGGGAACTTCAGAAAGTAATAATTAGTAATCAGTGATACCCATTTAATAAAAAATTCAAAAATCATTACATTTGGAATACTTGAACTCTATTAATAACAGTGGTATTATGCACATAAGTAAAAATCTATTCCCATGTGCCAAGTCCATTGATTTACTGTATGACAAAAAATTTCAACAGAATTTTGCAAATACTATTGATACATCAGGATTAAGAGAAACAAGCATCTACTGCAGTTTCTTTTTACATACAAATGATTTTGCATAAATCTCAAGCTTGAACATTCTTTCTCAGCAACAAAAAGTTAGATATTCAGTATTTAATACTTTGTTATCAAGTGCATTTTAAAAAGAACTGTACTGTAAATGGAATGCTTGACTTAGCAAAATTTGTGCTCTTTCATTTGCTTCTAGAAAAAGAAAACTGACAAGAATGGGTATATAAAGAGTACATTATACTATTCTTTTGTCTTTAATAACTTGGATATTACTGTAATATTTCTAATAATGTTGAAGTATGATTTGATACAATCTCATTCAAATTCTCGTGTCTTAGAGCCTTATTGTCTTTACGTTTAAAACTCCCTATAGCAAAGCCTTCAGTGAGTGTTTATTACCAACTCAAAAGATGTTGTTCATAACAGCTATTTTTCGAGCGGTAGCACATGCTTTTCTTTTTAATTATTACCTAATTAAAAACCCTCTATAGAAATGCGTAGTGAGTCTTTATGTACAATTTGTAACTCACACCTTATATTACCAGTTATTATAAGCTTTTAACAATATGTCAGTTGTTAGGTTATGTAACACTGTCACCTCAATGCTAAGGAATATTTTCCAGCTGTCCCTTTGTAAGACCTTGATTGGAAGAGCCTGGATACCATCAATTTTACACCAAATTGTCTCCTTAAATATGCACAGACTGGATAACTCTGAGCACACACCTGGTATAACTGAATAGGGAGAGTATTAAATAGAACACACAGAAACAAAACACTCTGTATAAAAATTACGAGTACTTATGTATTTTTTGTTGGCGTTCAACATAAGTAAAACTAGAAAATAAGGAAAACATTAAACTATTGGTTTGAAATAAATATTTGTGCTTTGGTTTAATTTTTCTTCTCCCACCCAGGACCATAAACTATTTTTCATAAAATTCTAATTTATATATAAATTATACCTATGCAAGATAAGCATCTTTATGTTAAAGTACCTCAAAACCTAGACTTCATAAATAATCTGGTTTGGAGTAGTACATTATAGATACGTAGTAAGGGGTGGAGGGTCTAGATACCCAGGTGAAGAATGAGTAACTAGGTCTTGTTCTTCATAGTGGGGTTCCCCAGCTTTGGCCCTGCTGACACTCTGGGCCGGAGCATTACCTGTGGCGGATGCTACCCTGTACTCTGCAGAAGGTCTGGCAGCTCCCTGGTCTCTACTCACTAGATGCCAGTAGCACTTGCCCCCCACCCTCCACCCCACAGTATGACAATCAACAATTTCTCAAGATAACGCCAACATGCCAGAGGGACAGGGAGAACCCAACTATAGCTGGTTGGGAACAACTGCTTTATAGGAAATTTACTTAATTTCTAAATTCTGAGACAAGCTTGGAAACTTGAAACAAAACCAGTTATCTCTGTCTGGTAAAAGTGTAGGGGCAAGATCAAAATGTGATTAAAATAATGAAGGTTAACGACCAGTAGTGATATAGCAGGAGGAGCCCAGGGATGCAGAACATTGAGATGGAAAAATATACCCAGAAATCTAGTTCCCTTTATAGTCTTGGGCAAATCACAATCTCTTTGGACCTGCCTCCTCATCTACAATGGGGTGGCAATACTGATCAATTAGGTTGCTATGAGAATTGAATGATAAAAATACATGTGAAAATGCTTTGTAAACCAACAAGATTCATAAAATATATATAACCATCATACTGGATAATAATTTACTGACAAGAAAAATTAAAGACTATGAAGTCTTTAAAAATAAAAGGATACATTTCAATGATAATTATTCTAAAATTACAATGTTCTAAAGTTTCAATAGTTTTAATAAATAAAATTCACTTTTTAAACAATATATCATAAAAATAAAAATTTGACATCATGCCACTTATAAGAATATAAGAAGTCAAATGTTCACTGAGAGTGTAAGAATACAGTTCCTGAAATTGATAATTAAATTTATAAGGTTAATGCTAACGTAAGAATTATCTAAACGGATTAGTCTATGATCTGAACAGAGCAGCTTAAAGTAGCTAAGTTAATCTTTTCTGAAAAGACAGCAATTTTTTTTAAATACCAGAAATGATTCACGAAATCACTGCAATTAATTTCCCACAGTTACTGTTTGTGTTTTTCATTCCACAGCTGCTAACCACTTTTGGTTATAAGTCTGAAAAACAAAAAACAAAACAAAACAAAAACCCTAAACCGCTAATAAAAATTAAAGCAAGCAACCAAAACTGCATTAAAGTTTTCTACCAAAATCCCATTTTATGGTAAACATAAAATACTACCCACTTGAAACTCATAAAGTTTGGAACCAGATGAATTACTACAACTTACTGGGTTTATTAAGAAATTCAAGGTAGAAAAAACAAATCTTGGTGACCACCTATTCTCATTTCCTCCCAAATACTATAATAAAAAAGGATCACTGAATTCATGAAACAAAAGTAATACTTTTAGAAACACTAAAACTAAAGCTTTACTTTAAAAAAATCACTTTTGTTCCTCCTTAAACTTTTGCATTATTTTTCTTTCCTTCGTAATTCCATCTTTTGGTAAAAGAATTGTCTTACATTGGCTTTCATGACTTCTCCGCTTACACGGTCCTTAACTTACTGCACTGCCGTAATAATTCTCCTGAATTTATTTTCCCCAAATTGTATGTATAAATGATACGAAACAGTAACAGGTGGTATATAAAGAACATTTCAGACGTTCTTCCAAATGCCTTACTTGCATTTATTCATTTAACCCTCACAGTGGCCCTAGTAGGCAGCTCCCTTTACTCATGCCTGGTTTTGGAGGTGTGGAAATTGGAAAACAAACATTCAATACCTCTTGGCCTATCTGGGATTTGAACCCAGCAGCCTAGCTCGATGTTTTTAACCACGATGACACACTAATTTTTCAGTCAGTGATCATCCTTATAAAACAGTGTACAGTGCCTCCTCCTTGAGATTCTCTGCTTACTTGGCTTCCACACATCATATGTTTTGGGTTGCTCGTCAGCAGCTAGTGTTCCCCGATACTCTTTTAGCCTTATCTTTCTGTCCCCTGGCAATCTCACCCATTTCTAAGCATTTGACCATAACCTCTCAGGTGAAGCCTCTGAAATCCATCTTTCAAAAGTGGGCCTTGCTGGACAGTAATAAACTCTTAAAAGCAAACCCAAACACTTGGAGCCATAAAATTCAATCAAAATCAACATCATAATTTCTTTTAAACCCACACTGACACTCTTGACTTTTTCCTTCCCCTAGGCTTTCTGGTTTTAAACTTTACAGAGGCTGAAAGAGGCTGAAACATAGAGACAAACTAGGCCAAGGGGCAAAAGCATGTGCCACGTCCAGCTTTAAACACAGGGCACAATCATATGAATTCATGATATTAAAACTTGCAGTTGGAGTGCTGGAGATTTCCCTTTTATTAGGGAAAATTTACAAAAGAAGCAAATGCAGACAAAGCAATATAATAATTTTTATGTACTTCTCACTTAGTTTTAAAAATTCTCAACTTATAGCTAGTCACATTCACTCACACCCTCACTGCTATTATTATTTTTGATGACAGCTTTATTGGGATATAATTCATATACCATACAGTTCACAATTTAAAGTATACAGTTCAATGGTTTTTAATGTATTCAGGGTTAGAAGCCATTACCGCAATCAACTTCAGAACATTTTCATCACTCCAGAAAGAAACCCTGTCCCCGTTAAAGTCACTCCTCATTTACTCCCAGCCCTAGGTAACTGCAAATCCATTCTGTTTCAATGGATTTGCCTATTCTGGACATTTCATATAAATGGAATCATGAGGTCTTTTGTGACTGGCTTCTTCCACTTAGCATAATGTTTTCAAGGTTCATTCATGTTGTAGCAAGCATGTCAGTACTCCACTCCTTTTTATTGCCAACTAATCTTCCACTGTATGGATGGACCACATTTATTCATCCATTTATCAGCTGATGGACATAAACACATGTTGTTTTCACTTTTTGGCTATTTTTTATTTTATCCATCCTAGAGAATGTGAAGTAGTCCTTCACTGTGACTTTGACTTGCATTTTCCTGATGACTAATGATGTTGAGCATCTTTTACTGTGTTTACTGACCATTTTGTTATCTTTGGAGAACCATCTATTCAGATCCTTCACTCATTTAAGAATATTATTGGGCTGTATAAGTTCTTTATCTATTCTAGACACAAATTCTTTATCAGACTTATGATTTGCAAAATTTTTCTCCCTTGTTTGGATTTTTTTTCCTCTTTCTTTCCCCTTTCTTGGTGATATCTTTGGCATAGAAAAAAATTTAAATTTTCATGATATCCAATTGATCTATTTTCCCATTTGTCTCTTGCGCTTTTAGTGTCACATCTAAGAAATTGTTGCCTAATCCAAGGTCATGAAGACTGATACTATGTTTCCTTCTAAAACCTTAATAGTACGAGCTTTAACACTTAGGTCTTGGTTTCCATTCTGAGTAAATTTTAGCATGTGATCCAGTTGTCTTAGCATGTTTTTTCAAAGCTGATCAAGACATAAAAGATTTCTATCACTCCAGAAGGTTCTTCCATGCCCCTTCCCAATTCACACTCCCATTTTTGTCCAGCAAACATCCAGTCACTCACTCACTCCACCAAATACTCATCCCAGAACCTTGCCAGCAACAGTATAACCCTCTAATAAAAATTTTCTCAATAACTGTTAACCTGAATAAACATAAGTAGCAGGAATTCTGCTTCCTGGATCCACACATCCCATCCTCCCCTTCAGCACAAAAGAACACATTTCCACTAATTTGGCAAAGGGAAATGCATTTTATCACCCCTTCCTGGGTCTGAAAATGCCATTGCTTTGTACTGAGTCCCAGTCAGTGCAAAAAAAAAAAAGTTGAATGGATTATATAGACAACTACTTTTTAATTGCATATATTATCTTGGAACTTTACTCTGTGAGGGTAGAGAGTACTGGCTGCTCCATCTGCCTCTCAGTGCTCCCTTGGTCTCTGCCAACTGTGGCTGGCAGTGTGCGGGTCTTTTTAAATTCTTCTCTCTATACCTCCTTATTTGATGAGAGTTCTATGATGTCTCCTAATTTTGCTACCATGTGGCTTATTGATCTGAAATGTACTTTCATCTCCTGTGATTTAGAGCTAACTGGGAAAAATACAAACCCACAGCCCCGCTATCTGGATCATAAGGATTAGCAAAATGTTTTTTGTGTGTGTGTGTGTGTGTGCAAAATGTCTTTTTGAAATAAGAACTACTCCCACAAAAACAGTTAGAAAGAAAGTAAAATATCACTTGCACTTGATTTGTATGTATCTGAAAAACCCAACTGAAAAATGGTGACACACAGTCACATGTATAACTAACAAAAGACTGGTATCCATAATACATTAAAAAAAAAACCCTAAAAATCAATAAGAAAAAGACAAATAACAATAGAAAAACGAGCAAAAAACATTAACAGGTATACCTCAGAAGAGAAAATCCAAATGGCTGAAACACATTTGAAAAGATTATTCAAACTCTTTAGTAATTAGGGAAATGGAAATTAAAATTGCAAGCAATACCACTATATACTTAACCTATCGAACTGGGGAAAAAGTTAGATAATGCCAAGTATTAACGACATCTAAAAACAACTGTAGCCTTTCCTTCCCTTCACCTTCACTCACTTAGCAGTGAGACACGTGGCTCCCCCAGTCACCACACAGTTACATAACCATTCCATTCCAGGATGCATGACAGCAGTGCCAGAACTACTGACCTGTACCACTGAGCTCATTCACTTTGTCTCTACTTTGCACCACCAACACATGTTTACTTTCTGTCTTCCTCTTCCATGACAACAGGGACTTTTACTGCTGAGTCCTCAGCACCTAAAACTGCCTTGAACAAAATAGGTGCTCAACAAATAATAGCTGAGTGAGTAAGTGAATGAAAAATTTTTATGGTGTATTACCGTAATTACCAGGTCTCAGTTGGACCTTTCCTCACCAGCACTAGTCATTTGGCTCTGAGATACTGTATCTACTTCAATCAAATCAAATTTAGACTTCTCCTTCTCTCCCTAATTGCTACAGTTATAACCACCAACTGAAACAGTGAGTTATGACAGTCACTTGAAGTTTCTATTTTTTCCTCTAAGGCCTGACTTGACCGCCACTCTCCACTCCTCCCACCTCCTGCCAACCTAAACCTCTTGGACACCGTCAATGCTGTCTAAATTTCCTAGTCACTTTTGATTCTGAGTGTTCTAGCTATCTGTTGACAAATATTTCATTTTTTAGGAACAAGAACAACATAATCACTGTCACAGAGTTAAATGAAGAATTAAATAAAAGTTAAGTGGCTAATTTGAAGTTAATCTTTCAGAAGAATTGTGAGGGCAATCCCTATCC